AATTCCATTGGGACGACTTCACATTCGTCCGCTTCAGTTTTATCTGCACAAGTTATGGATTCCAGCTTCACAAGAATGGGAAGCATTGATTCCAATCACTCAGCCTTTATTTCCACATCTTCAATGGTGGTTAGTACGGGAAAATGTAATGAGGGGCCTATGTCTGTCCCCTCAAGTTCCCAGTCTAACATTATTCACAGATGCCTCCACCCTCGGTTGGGGAGCATATCTGGAGGGGCTTACAATCTCGGGAGTCTGGAATCCAGATCTTTTGGATGAGCATATCAATGTATTGGAAATGAAAGCAGTTCTGTTTGCACTGAATCATTTCCAAATGTCTCTAAAGAATCAGTCTGTCATTCTGGCCACGGACAACACAACAGTTGTAGCTTATCTCAAGAATCCGGGAGGAACTCATTATCTCTTTATCAGATAGCCAGAGACATTCTCCTTCTGTGTTTTCAACTCCAGGTTCATCTAGTGGTGAGCATATTGCGGGGCACCTCAATATTCTAGCCGACACTCTATCCAGATCCCTTGCTCCAGTAAACACGGAGTGGGAACTACTTCAAGTAGTTTTCAAAGCTGTGACTCTTCATTGGGGGTCACCTCAGATAGATCTGTTTGCGACCAGTCTCAATCACAAACTTCTAACATTTGTGTCTCCGGTTCCAGATCCAAAATCTTTTGCGGTAGATGCAATGAGCCTATCTTGGAAATGAATGTTCGGGTACGCCTTCCCTCCTTTCAGGTTTCTCTCCCCAGTACTTCAGAAAATAGCAGGGGAAAATTGCAAGATCATAGTTATTGCTCCAGCATGGCCGAAACAGTCTTGGTTTCCAGACCTTCTGCGCCTATCATGTGCTTGTCCTCTAGTTCTACCTCTGAGACCAGACCTTCTGTCTCAAATCAAGGGCAAGGTTCTTTATCAAAATCCAGAAAAACTTCATCTACACGCCTGGCTTCTCTCAGGGTTAGCCTCAGAAAGAGAGGCTTTTCTGAAGGACCAACCAAGCATCTCACAAAGTCTGTCAGAGACTCCACTAGCATTGTCTATGATGCAAAATGGTCAATCTTCTCAGATTGGTGTAGTGAGCGGGAAATTGATCCTTTCCAAGTCACTGTACAACAATTAGCAGACTTTCTAGTTTTTCTTTTTGAATCCAAAGGATTATGTCCCTCTACTATTAAGGGATATAGATCAGCTATTTCAAGAACTATTCATATTTCTGGTGGCCCAGATTTTGGAAACAATGAGCATATTTCTCTTTTGGTCCGTAGTTTTAGTCTTGAAAGACCAAGACAAAAAACTTTAGTTCCTAAGTGGGATCTTGGACTAGTTTTATCCTTTTAAAACTTCCTCCTTTTGAACCAGCAGAAACAATAGATTTAAGGTTTCTTTCCTATAAATGCTGTTTTCTTTTAGCTTTGGCTTTTGGACGGAGAAGGAGTGAAATCCATGCCTTCTCTATTTCTGATGCTTGCCTTCGATTTAATAGGGATAAATCTTCTGTTACTCTTTTAACTGATCCTGCTTTTTTGGCAAAGAATCAGATTCCAGATAAGGGTGCAGAACCAGTCATGATTCCTGCACTCCCTAGCGATTCTATTTCTGTACTTTTATGTCCAGTAAGAATCCTTTCTATTTATCTGGATAGAACGAGTAGTTTACGTTCTGTTTCTAACTCAAGACTCTTTATTCCTATTAAAAAAGGAATCTCAGATCTTTCTGTTAAAACTATTTCTACTTGGATATGCAAATGCATATCTTTAGCTTATGGTTCTTCTAAGGCAGAACTTTTAAATAGTTTTTATGTTAAAGCTCATGATGTTAGGGGTATCTCTACATCCTGGGCTCTGTTTAACAGTGCATCTTTAGAAGAGGTACTGTCTGCAGGTTTCTGGAGAAATGAGAACTCTTTTATATCTCATTACCTCCAATCTATGGCTACTTTTGCCGAGAGTTTATACTCTCTTGGACCTATAGTTTCAGCACAAAGATTGAACTTTCCTCCTGTTTCTTCTGTTACAGGGGATTCAGCTTTACGTTAGATTCTGTTACTCAGAATTTATGATGGTAACGTATTTATAGCTATAAAATATTCAAATTTTAAAGTAAATTTGGATTTTATTAGATAAATACTTACCATCATAAATTATAGGTCCCACCCACCTCCCCTTCATCCCCTTTCCTTATGTTTCTGTCTTGAGGAAATTGAATGGGAGAATATGGGCAAACAGGGGTATATGTCCGGTCCAGTGAGAGTACGTTTATTTTTAGTCGGGATTTTCCATCTGACCTATGACGCAATTGGGGTTACACTCAGAATTTATGATGGTAAGTATTTATCTAATAAAATCCAAATTTACTTTAAAATTTGAATATTTTATTCATTAAAAAAAGGGGGATTTTCCAGTTTTCGGATAATAACTCACAAACTCTTTCAGCAATTTGCAAGAAACTTTAGTGAATTGTTTATAGCTATTGACATGAGCTCCCTTTTGATTTTTATAAATTTTTGATTTTAGGTTTCTGAGTTTTTGGGTTTTATTCATTAAAAAAAGGGGGATTTTCCAGTTTTCGGACAATAACTCACAAACTACATTTTGTGTATTTCAGCAATTTGCAAGAAACTTTGGTGAATTGTTTATAGCTATTGACATGAGCTCCCTTTTGATTTTTATAAATTTTTGATTTTACGTTTCTGAGTTTTTGGGTTTTATTCATTAAAAAAAGGGGGATTTTCCAGTTTTCGGACAATAACTCACAAACTCTTTCAGCAATTTGCAAGAAACTTTGGTGAATTGTTTATAGCTATTGACATGAGCTCCCTTTTGATTTTTATAAATTTTTGATTTTACGTTTCTGAGTTTTTGGGTTTTATTCATTAAAAAAAGGGGGATTTTCCAGTTTTCGGACAATAACTCACAAACTATTTCAGCAATTTGCAAGAAACTTTGGCGAATTGTTTATAACTATTGACATGAGCTCCCTTTCGATTTTTATAAATTTTAGATTTTACCTCAGAGTTATGGGGTTTTATTCATTAAAAAAAGGGGGATTTTCCAGTTTTCGGACAACAACTCAAAAATGCTTTTAGCAGTTTTCATTAAACTTTGTCGACTGATTTATATCTATTAAGATAACCTCCCTTTAGTTTTTTATAAATTTCTGATATGACATTGAGAAGTTATTGAACTTTATTCTTTGAAAACGCGACGGGCGTATCATGCGCTCATGGCGCAGCTGTTTATTCTGCATTTTACTGATAAATTGACTTTTTTGGCAGTTAACATTAAGATACTGTCATACAGTAAAAGTTTTTTAGACATCAATAATTTTTTCAAACTTTCATGGAATTTTAGGAAACTTTAGGCTTGGACAGAAGCTTTTTTGTTATCAAAAGTCAATATTCATAGCAAAATTTAGATTTTTTTTCTTCATTTTTCAGTATTTTATTGATAAAAGTAGTTAGTTAGTTTAGTTTTTTTGCAGTTAACATTTATATACACAATGGAATAAAAGTGTATTTTAGACATCAATTGCTTCATAGAATTTGATTAAACTTTGGCAGAAAGCTCTTTTGTCAATCTGAAATGTCACAGAAATGAGACATAGGAATCATGCATTGCATCATTGGCAGTGTTTTTAAGTTCAGTCTTTGTTTAAAAAATTTTTGAACATCAAAAACATCATGGAATTTTACGACACTAGGACAGATGTTTTTTTTTCTCTTCGCTTGGTGTTCGTCGTCGTTAACTTTTACATAAATTGTCTCCTTGTAACTACTGGAGCAAATTTAACCAAAATTGGCTACAGTCATTATTGGGATATCTAGTTTAAAAGATATGCTAACCAAATGCAAGTTTGTCTTTTATTCTGAAAACCATTATAAATATGAAATCTTAGAAAATCTGACAGTGGCAGAAATGTTCAGAATGTTGAACTCCACCTATTTTACATTCACATCAAGACTGTCAAACGACTTCTTATAGGAGTTAATGCCCTTCAATGACTAATTATACAATTTTTTTCATTATTATACAACTGCAAAAAAATTTTTTGCGGTCGTATATTGGTATGACGTTGGCGTCGTCGACGTCCATAGACACATTGGTTTTCGCACAATAACTTTACCATAAGGTTCAATACCACAAAAGGAAGATTGGGATTGATTTTGGGGGTTATGGTACTAACAGTTAAGGAATAAGGGGCCAAAAAATAAGCATTTTTGTAACTTCCAGACAATAACTTGTGTGTTAGTGTATGGATCTCTCTCTGACATTGTACTGCAAGGTACCATACCACAAAGGGAAGGCTGGGATTGATTTTGGTGGTAATTGCCTCAAAATTTTAGGAATTAGGGGCCAAAAAAGGGGCAAAAAACAAGCATTTTTCTAGTTTCATGACAATAACTTGTGTGTAAGTGTATGGATCTTTCTGAAATTGTACTACAAGGTTCCATATCACAAAGGGAAAGCTGGGTTTGAGTTTGGGGGTAATTGCCCAAAACGTTTAGGAATAAGGGGCCAAAAATAAGCATTTTTCTAGTTTCCAGACAATAACTTGTGTTCAAGTGTATGGATCTCTCTGAAATTGTACTGCAAGGTACCATACCACAAAGGGAAGGCTGGGATTGATTCTTGGGGTAATTGCCTCAAAATTTTAGGAATTTGGGGCCAAAAAGGGGCAAAAAACAAGCATTTTTGTAGTTTCAGGACAATAACTTGTGTGTAAGTGTATGGATTTTTATGAAATTGTACTACAAGGTTCCATATCACAAAGGGAAAGATGGGTTTGAGTTTGGGGGTAATTGCCTTAAACGTTTAGGAATTTGGGGCCAAAAAGGGACCAAAAAACAAGCATTTTTCTAGTTTCCAGACAATAACTTGTGTTCAAGTGTATGGATCTCTCTGAAATTGTACTGCAAGGTACCATACCACAAAGGGAAGGCTGGGATTGAGTTTAGGGGTGATGATTCATAAGGGGGTTAAAAAAATTTGGGGGGGGGGGGGGGTTTTTTCCTTTTTTTCCTTTTTTTTTTCTTTAAAATTTTCCATTTTAAGTTGCTTATTTCTGATTTATATATAAAAGCAAATAATAACAAGAAATGATTGTAACAGGATGCTGTTACGAAGTCTCCCAAACGAAGCTCCCATAATTCGTAATTCCCAGGGTCGCCTGACATTGGGCAAAGTCCAGTGAAAATTGGTTTAGTCCAGAAAAGTTATATGCATTAATGATGCCTGGGGACTAACCCTGTATATCATTCAAATCATCTTGGCATGACAAACCAGAATATATATGGTTTAGGGGTGGGGATCTCAACCATTTACAAGATACTAGAACATTGGGTGTGGGGGGGGGAACCCCTGGGGACTGACCCTATACGTCATTCAAATGTTCGAGACATGACAAACAGGAATATGTATGGTTAAGGGGTGGGGATCTCGACCACTTACAAGATACTGGAACATTGGGGGTGGGGGGAACCCCTGGGGACTGACCATATACGTCATTCAAATGTTCGAGACATGACAAACAGGAATATGTATGGTATAGGGGTGGGGATCTCGACCATTTAAAAGATATTAGAACTTTCTCAAATGACAGGGGGTCGGGACGACCCCTGGGGACTAACCCTGTATGTCATTCAAACCATCTGCACATGACAAACCAGAATATATATGGTTTAGAGGTGGGGATCTCGACCATTTACAAGATATTAGAACTTTCTCAAATGACTGGGGGTCGGGGTGACCCCTGGGGACTAACCCTGTATATCATTCAAACCATCTTCGCAAGACAAACCAGAATATATATGGTTTAGGGGTGGGGATCTTGACCACTTACAAGATATTAGAACTTTCTTAAATGGCAGGGGATGGGGTGACCCCTGGGGACTAACCCTGTATATCATTCAAACCATCTTCGCATGACAAACCAGAATATATATGGTTTAGGGTGGGGATCTTGACCACTTACAAGATATTAGAACTTTCTTAAATGGCAAGGGGTAGGGGGTGACCTCTGGGGACTAACCCTGTATTTCATTTGATGTGCTTTATCATGACAAACCAGAATATATATGGTTTAGGGGTGGGGATCTCGAACAATTTAAAAGATATTAGACCTTTCTCAAATGGCAGGGGGTCGGGATGACCCCTTGGGACTAACCCTGTATATCATTCAAACCATCTTAGCATGACAAACTAGAATATATATGGTTTAGGGGTGGGGATCTTGACCACTTACAAGATATTAGAACTTTCTTAAATGGCAGGGGGTGGGGGTGCCCCCTGGGGACTAACCCTGTATTTCATTTAATGTGCTTTATCATTTAGAACATTTTGTAGTAAAAAGATTGTGTCTATCACAAACGGTTTTCAATTTATAATCATTTGAAAATTTTAAAAAATAAAATCCCATAGGGTTCTATAGTAAAACCCTCCTTTCTTTTTGCCCCTCAAAATACCCCTTTATAAACCCCATTGCAAAAACAAAACCCTGATTGCACCACTAGACATGTTAGTCTAACATATTGTGAAACCCTAAGTTAATCTGACAAGCGGTTTTGGAGAACGGGTGCGGACAAGTTCAAATTTAAAAGCGGCTGAAGAGGAAGAAGAAGAATAACTAGCATTGCTATTGCAAGCAATAGCGGATGTCACCCTTCCCCCATTGCCACTAAGCGGCAGCCATTTCAAAATTTTAAACAGTGGTTGCACATATATGCATTGCTATACACCTTTCTGCAAATTTTCAGAACATGAAAGGCTTTTTGAAATTTTTCACATTTTTGATGTTTCCATGGCAACGGCCGCCATTTTGGAAATTCCAAAGTCGAGAGTTCATCTATACTTGCCAGTTCACATTTATATTAAGTTTCATTAAATTTGGAGCATTTTTTGAAATTTTTGAAATATTTGCTGTTTCCATGGTAACGCTATATTAATTCCAATTTTCCAGAGACATATGCCACACTGACTGATGACATGTTACATATGATTGCAGTTTCATTTGGTTTAATCTTATATTCTTTAAGAAAATGCTCCTTTAATATGTTTTCCCGTAGGGTCAATGTTAAACTTTTGCCAAGTTTCCATGGCAATGGCAGCCATTTTGGAATTTCTAAATATAGTCGGTGCTTCCACACATACCAGGCAACATTTCCATAAAGTTTCATTTGGTTTGGTCTAATAATAAAAGAATTGGCTTTTTGAAAATTTTTCACATTGTTGCAGTTTCCATGGAAACGGTGGTCATTTAAAAAATTCCAAAGGTGTCCTGCATAACTAGAGTTGGTGGTCCTCATTATGGTACCCATTCATTATGATTGGTCCACTAATCTATGAGAAAACTCTAGGACAAAAAAGGTGGAATAATAATAATAATAATAATAAAAGAAACGGAGGAAAAGCAATATGTCACCCGACATTGTCGTACGGGTGACATAATAATAATAATAAGAACTGAGCAAAACCAATAAGTCTTCCCTAACTTCGTTTGGGAGACTTAATGATATGGTTTGAATAGGTAAATAAAAATTTTTTAAGTTCTTAGACCACATTCATTCTGTGTCAGAAACCTATGCGGTGTCAAATATTTAATCACAATCCAAATTCAGAGCTGTATCAAGCTTGAAATTTGTGTCCATACTTGCCCCAACTGTTCAGGGTTCGACCTCTGCGGTTGTATTAAGCTGCGCCCAGCGGAGCATTTTATTTCTGTTATCTTGAAAACTAGAATAGATCGATAGACACTTCAAATAACAAAATTGATCAGCAAGACACTTAAAATAACAAAAAAGATCAGCAAAACATGATTTATAAACAAGTCAAATTTTTAAAAGTAGACTTTATATATGAGTGACAGCCCTTAAATCATAAAATGGCTCTTTTTTTTTTTACCCTCTTTTGTGTTTTTGGCAAAAAATAAAGAAGATAGAGATAAAGAGTAAACAGAAAAAATGGTCAGCAATACAAGATCAACAAAAAAAGTTTTTTGTCAAGAATTCTATTCTAGTCTACAACGTTGGAGTGTCCATTGTTGAAGATGCAGATAGACCTAACTGAGCAACTCTGGCTCTTTAGAGTCTCTAGTTATGATCAAAAGACAGTATCCAGAGCAAAATTTCATCAATAAAAACAGGCTGCAAGCAAATTTCTAATAGCTCAGAAGGTGTGAAAAAAAAACAATAACTCAGTATCCATAGCAGATTTTTGTTTGTCCATATATTACTGATAAAGGGACTTAGTTTTTATTTGCAGTTAACATTTAGATACAGTTGGGGATTAAAAGTTTACAGTTTTTATAGACATCTATAAATATGTCAAACCAGTTTATTTGTGTGTTTTTGAGAGCACTTTTTACTTATGCTTTTTCAGGGTCTTGATATGGTACACTTCATTGAGTACATTTCTTGTAAGCTTAAAACGCATCGTGGACTCTATAATGTGTTCCCAATAACCTCAGCAAAAGTGCCAATAGTAAAATTTAAACATCGAAGATCTCAGTTGGAAGGTGACATCAGTATGTATAATTTATTGGTATGTGTTAATTTAGAACTGTCACTTTAACTTGAAAATATGATGATAGATTCTTTTTCATTTACTTTTTCCAGTCCTCTTTTTGTATATATGTATCATGCTTGTGCTTTTTCTAATTTTATTTTTCAGTGCATTTTTTGTTGGAAATGTTCTTCAGAATTTCTCATTTACAAATAAAAACTAATCAAAGATACCAGACTTAATTTGGTACGCAAAAGATGTTTGTTGCTTTCTCAAATGATATGAAGAAAGTTTGATTCCACTTAAAATCAGTACAAACAAATGATTTATGTTTTGGCCTGTATTGTAATTCAATGAGACTTCTGATGCCTATATAGCAAAATTTCCTTCTGTCCGTCCATTCCATTATGGGTGTATAGTTATTCCAGATAACTCCTCCTTATTTACTTATAAATGGACTTAGTTTTTCTGCCAGGAAACATTACATTCACTCTGTGGTTAAAGTTTTTAAAATTTTAATAACTTTCTCAAACTATCCTGGATTTCTATCAAACTTGGACAGAAGCTTGTTTATGATCATAAGATAGTATCCAGTAATAAATTTTAAAAAAAAAATTCCTGTTTTTCCGTATTTTACTTATAAATGGACTTAGTTTTTCTGCCAGGAAACATTACATTCACTCTGTGGTTAAAGTTTTTAAAATTTTAATAACTTTCTCAAACTATCCTGGATCTCTACCAAACTTGGACAGAAGCTTGTTTATGATCATAAGATAGTATCTAGAAGGAAATTTTTATTAAAATTTTGTACTTGTTTATCCATATTTTACTTATAAATGGACTTAGTTTTTCTTCAAGTTAACATTACATACAGTCTGCAGTTAAATTTTTTAAAACATTTATTAAATTCATAAACTATCCTGGATTTTTACCAAACTTAGACAGAAGCTTCTAACAATAAAAAAATTGTATCAAGAGGAATATTTTTATTAAATTTTATCCTCATCTCATTTTTGTTGAGCCTGCGATTAACAGCAAAAGTAGGCGAGACACTGGGTTCCGTGGAACCCTTACAAATTTTTATTAATATTTGCTCTTTTGGGAGATAATTGAACTTTGTCATTTTTGGAGTATATACTTGCATAAGAGGTGAATTGAGTTTCCGGAAAACTTCTCCTACAGGTTGAATGCTAGGCAGTTTTCACTTTGCTGGCTGTTTGTACATATATGGAAGGTGTGCATGTGGTTAGGGTTTTGATTTTTGTCGAGCCTTCGACTTTTGTCGAAAAAGCGAGACATAGCGATCCTACATTCCGTCGTCGTCGGCGGCGGCGTCCACAAATATTCACTCTGTGGTTAAAGTTTTTGAAATTTTAATAACTTTCTTAAACTATCCTGGATTTCTACCAAACTTGGACAGAAGCTTGTTTATGATCATAAGATAATATTCAAAAGTAAATTTTGTAAAAAAAAAATTCCATTTTTTCCGTATTTTACTTATAAATGGACTTAGTTTTTCTGCCAGTTGACATTACATTCACTCTGTGGTTAAAGTTTTTAACATTTTAACAACTTTCTTAAGCTATCTTGGATTTGTACCAAACTTGGACAGAAGCTTGTTTATGATTAAAAGCTAGTATCTAGAAGGAAATTTTGTTAAAATTTTGTACCATTTTTTCCGTATTTTACTTATAAATGGACTTAGTTTTTCTTCCAGTTAACATTACATACAGTCTGCAGTTTAAGTTTTTAAAACATTTATTAGATTCATAAACTATCCTGGATTTTTACCAAACTTGGACAGAAGCTACTTACAATCAAAAGATAGTATAGAGAGGAATTTTTTTATTAATTTTTTTCCTCATTTTTGTTGAGCCTGCGATTAACAGCAAAAGTAGGCGAGACACTGGGTTCCGCGGAACCCTTACGAATTTTTTATTAATATTTGCTCTTTTGGGAGATAGTTGAACTTTGTTATTTTTTAGTATTTACTTGCCCAAGAGGTGCATAGCGTTTCCGGATAACTTCTCCTTCAGTTTGAATGCTAGGAAGTTTTCACTTTGCTGGCTGTTTGTACATATATTGAAGGTGTGCATGTGGTCAGGGTTTTGATTTTTATTAATATTTGCCCTTTTGGGAGATAGTTGAACTTTATCATTTTTTGGAGCATTTACTTGCATAAAAGGTGCATAGTGTTTCCGGATAACACCTCCTACAGTGAATCATAGACCTATGTGCTCCCATGCTCAGCTTTGTGTATTTTTAAATAACACTATACATCTGCGGGGGCATCACTTGTGTCTCCCAGACACAATAATATCTCATAGAAAGTCCTACATTTACTTTGTTATAATACAGTTACTTCAGAGTGGAGTGCGAGACATCACTTTGTCTATTTTTTGTCTCGCCTTGACGGGTCAAAAAGCGAGACATAGGTATGCTGTTTCCGGCGGCGGCAGCGTCGTCAACAATGTATTAGTTTGTCATTAGGTCTAGTTTATGGTGAATCACTAGTGGTAGGTCAATGATATTTGGTATGCAGTTGTATAAGCATTGGCACATATCATTACCATGGAGATTATTTTGCCCTGTCCCCTCAGTCATGGTCTATTGACTTTGAAACTTTTGCTCAGTTTACATGTATTAGTTTGTGATTAGGTCAGTTTATGGGGAACCACTAGTGGTAGATCAATGATAATTGGTATGCAGTTGTTTAAACATTAGCACATCTCATTTCCATGGAGAATATTTGGTCCCTACCCCTTCATCATGGTTATTGACTTTGAAACTTTTTGCTTAGTTTACATGTATTAATTTGTGATTAGATCAGTTTAAGATGAACCACTCATGTTAAGTCAATGATATTTGGTATGCAAATGTATTGGCATATGCAAGTTTCGTTTCCATGGAGATTATATAGCCCCATCCCCTCATTATGGTTCATTGACTTTTGGAACTTTGACATAGTTTACAAGTTAATGTTAATGTTTGTGTTTAGGTTTGTTTAAAAGGAACGACTTATGAAAATTCAATGGTATTTGGTATGCAGTGGTATTAGCATTGGCACATCTCATTTCCATGGTGATTGTTTAGCCCTGTACCTTCAGTCATGGTTCATAAATAATTGCATAACTTATATGTTACAGTATTGCTATTTTAATTTCAACATTTGCATTATTCAAATAACAAATAGGCGAGACATATCTCTGGGTTAACAGTTTATTATTGTTTTCATATTAACTATTTGGTTTGTATATTTAGGTACATTTACGCCAAAAAAGAAAAGGTATGTTTCCTGTCACCTGACCAATACAAAAAAAAAAATCAGAAAAAAAGATTTTCCTTTAACTTCTCCCAAAATTGTCTGAATCTAATTTGCTCTGT